AAAATGTTAAAAGAGAGAGAAACTCATATTAATTGGATGAATGTGTACGCGAGAAGCACTACTGGCGGAAGTGCATGCTTGCCGTTCACTTCCGTTAGGCAGAAGATAAAGCCAACAAATTCTGCTGATTAAAATCTGTTAAAATCGTGTGTGTATAACGTTATTTAAAGTTTGTATGTTAATATTTTACTTGACAACTATCATGGCTTAATATTTGTCTTTGATGTATTTTTAGGTTTAATGCATTCAATGTGAAACAAAGCATAATACATGCACATACAGAAATCTATATACATAGTCACACACACACACATGAACATACATACACACACACATATGAAACTCTGTCCAAATACTTCAGGAATATTTTTTCCAAAGAAATAATGTCGTAAACCTACTTTTCCAGTTTCATTTAAAGGATTACTTCAGTGTAGACATTCGAAACTAAGAGTTAAGATACTGTTCACAAATTATCAGCAGAATTTTGCATTACATTTGTTTCCTACGTAATCGTTTTATTGCCATATATATATATATATATATATATATATATATATATTATATCTTACGTATGTGTGTGTGTCTGTACACATTCACCAAATTTTGATTCTTGATAATGTGGTCAGATTGTGGGAAGTAAGTTGGACCGATAATTTTTCAGCATTGTCTGTACACACACACACCTATAGCTATCATTTAATTAAATGAAGAGGGTAGAAACATTCTGTGCAACAGGTTTTGTCCTCTAAAAAGGACATTATATATATATATATATATATATATATATATATATATATATATATATAGATGTGTGTGTGTGTGGACCCCGTTTCAGAATTGTAAACATAAATAGATTTAATACTATCACTGAAAACTCATTTTTGTAGGAAACCGGTTCACAAAAAAGAAACTCAATTGCTGTACATTGACAGGCTCCAAATATGTGAATTATTGTATCCACGCACGCACGCACACACACACACACACACACACACACATATATATATATATATATATATATATATATATATATATATATATATATATATTATTAATTTTAAACTTCAGTTGGATCTCGTAACGGTTACAAATGAAACTAGAATTTTTCTTTACAGATGTGACGTACGCAGATCTTATTGTAGACAATTATGTAGACCGAGTTTAGCGGGGTGACGTTTTTCGGATAACCTCTGAAAATACAGCTGTAATTTTGCAACAAGGATTAACTTAACGCTATGAATATTGTTGTGGATTCCGAGATGAATTCGGTCTCCAAGGAATGACAAACACAATAATTAAATATAAGAAATAAAATGTATTTACACAATCATACAAAGAGTAATACGAACGCGGTTAGTATCAAATACAGATAGATATATACAGTCTCGAAGTAGGACTTTCCTTAGAGTCTACGTGCTGTAACTGACTTCTACACGAGGTTACCTCACACTATCTCCGTTCGTATATTCTCTCTCTATCTCTCTCTTTCTCTCTCTCTCTCCGTATATCTTCTCTCACTGACTGTCTAACTCTGGGTATTTAACGGCAGCACTCCAAGTAACACTGGTAGAGTCCACTTATATGAAAAGGGGAGGACCCCATAACAAATATAATTGTTCATCATATAACTATCGATAAAAAGGGATAAATGGTCTGAGAATTATTAGTCGCCATTGTTATTTAACCAACTCACGATATAACGCAATCATGGAACTGTTAAATCCTTTGTGCCTGTTTCCGAAACTTTTCCACACTTGTACCTTTCATCTGCTAAATCTGAAAGCTTTTTGAACCAAAAGAAAATAGGTCTGATCACATATGATCTCTCAACGGGCGCACATCGACATGGTGCAATGGTTAACGAGTTTGTCTTATGACTGAGTAGTGCGTTCGATCCTCACTGGGTTCCCCATACTTACGGCCTTGTGCCACATCTAAGCTACGCTTGGAAAATCAGCATATGATCTTCTGATGTTTTGACAAGATATAACAGTGTATGGAGAGAAACAATTTGGAATGCGCTCTAAGCGAAACGTTTGAGTACCTTTCAAGTTGACTTCAAAACATCTTCTTATTTAATTCCTTACTGCCTGATTGGGTCAGTGATCAAAATTTAGCGTCAAATGCTTACGTCAAGTATTATTTCGTGTACACAATTAAAAATTATCTATGCTTCAATTATATTCTTCTTCTACAAAATCTATTGTTTCATATATTATAAGGCAGATAAAAAATAGATTTTAAGATTCTGGAGATTTTGCAGCATTATTTTAAACTGGAGCTCAAAATCGCTAAAGCTGTTCACAGAATTCAGAAGTCAAAAGGAATGAAACAATACCTGACAGATTTAAACATTTTAAGCATGGTTACTTTTCTCTTGAAATAAAATCCAGATGTGGTCAACAATCAGTTGTTATTAGTAATACATTAAAACAAGAGAAGAAACCGACTTCCTTCGCTCTATAAATCTTTCAGAAGTGCTATCAATATCAAAAGATATCATTGCATATTAACTTATTCAGAAGAGTTCATAAAAAAGTCTATTTTTGAAACACGCTAATTCTCTTATATCGCAGTAAACGATGGACAATTTCCTCTGAGATT